GTACAAAGGTCCAAATAATAAACCAATAAACAATAAATCAAACATTAATTTAATTGCTATTAAGATTTATAAAAAAGAATAAAAAATTAATTGTAAACCCGATATGCGATCGCAACGTGTTAGGCTTATCGAAAATTTTTCACATATACCATAAATATCACATTCTACCAGATCTCAACGTGAAACATACATGTATGACGTTAACAAAAAAAAAGCAAAGAAAAATCAGTTTATATTCTTAATTGAAACATTGATCTCAAACATAAGAAACTGCAACTGTCTTAAATATGGACGAACACAAAAAAAGAAACGATGATAAAGCGAGTAAAATTAACGTCCTGAGAAAACAGCGAGGAAAGATAAACGAAAGAATGGAAAGACCGAAACAAATATGTGGAGAAATCCTGCTGGAAAAAGAGAACAAAGAATATAATAAATTTTGTCGCAATTAAATTATTGTAGATATCTTTTTTTAGTACAATGATTTGTCGAAAAAATTCTCTAATTCCAATTCTACTTTCAGAAATGGCCCTAGAAACATCGACATGGCTGAATCTAAGATTCGTGGAGAAGATTCTGCGAAAATCGGAAGATGACAACTCGATTCAGATGATCGATATATTTTCGAAACCAGTTACAAGCAAAGCTGACAACTCCACCAGTGACATAATAAGGATTTCTGTCGAATATTGGCACGATCAAGACAGCTGTAGGATTAAAAAGAAAAAATCATTTATCTTTAAAATCTTGCCTGAACTCGGAAGTGTCAGACAAAAATTTGTAAGTTACTTTAATGTGTACAATATTTATAATTTAGAGAAGAAAAAGAATGGAAAAGGGACACATAGAGAGAGAGAGGGGGGAGGGAAGAGGGAGAAAGAGATAAATCTGTGGCAAGCTTTATTGTTTCGAAGTACATTTTTATTCAACAGAAAGATTAGGATAGTTATTTTTGGGTGATCAGTAATTAAAATTAAATTATTTTTATGAATCATTTTTAAGGAGCGAATACACATACACGTATTTAAGAAATGAACGCTTTTTATTTGTTCAGAAATAAATATTGAATTTGAAACTTCCTAGTACACAAATTTTATACAGGCTGTTACATAAAAAATAATTTGATGTTTGATAGATTTAAAGATTCCATTTATTAATGTTGAATAAACTTGTTACAGGCCATAAAATCAGGTCTCTTTCACACCGAAATGTCGATGATGTCAAATACTTTGAATAAAATGAATAAGTTGTTAGAGCCAAAGTATCGCTTGAGTGGGAAGACTCTCTACATGCAAAATGAAGATCCAATGCTTCTGGTGATTGAAGATCTCGCGGCACTCGGCTTTCGAATAGCCGATCATTCGTCTGGTCTTGACCTAGATCATTCCATATTGGCGCTTCACGGACTTGCCAGGTTTCATGCAGCCTCCGTAGCCTTATGCGAGAAGGTAAATTAGTAAAAGATACTCATAATCAGTCATAACATTTCGTTGCAATTAATAATAATTCAGATCATAGATACAAAAATTACTCACTTTTAAAATGTCTTTTCGATCTGTGTGTGTTATCTAGGCTGTCTTATAATTTCCTCTAATAAAAGTTTGTTTTAAATTTATCACAAAATTGCATGATATTAAAATTATTGTGCGGATTTTTTGTATATTTTGATCTATTTTAGTATATAGCATTCGAAATTTCCAGTCCGCACTATTATTTAACAATTTATAGTCAAATGTACGTAAATGTTCTTTAATAATAATATTTTAATATTTAGGAACCAAAGCAAAAAGAAATGTATTTGGACGGGACATTTAACCAGCAGCAATCATCTGAAATGAAGGACATTTTCATTAAGTGTACTAAATGTGTAGCACACGAGATTGCACACTGGCCTGAAGTAAAAAAGTAACATTTGCTTAAACGTATTCATTGTTTTATTTTTTGTTTAATGTTTATGATAACATTTTATATGACACAAAATAAATGTTTAATGATAAAAAACTAAACATTAAACAGAAAATGACAAATGTAAAATCATATTATGCTGCTTAAAGCAAATATTTATATGACATTTACATGATTTCGTACAATTTTATATTTATTTCATTTGTATTGCTAGATACTCGGAAAAAATTGCTAAACTCTCCGATCACATATTTCAAATAGGAATAGATGCAACCAAGCTCTGTGAGGAGAAATTTAATGTTATTACTCACGGTGATTTTCACGCGAACAATATGTTGTTCAGATATGACAATGATGGTAAACCTATTGAACATATTTTTGTAAGTATCATTATATTTTTATGTTAAAAAAATATTTTTTTAATTTAGAAAAATGAAAATGTTATCATGAATACAATTATCATGAATACGTGTAATAAAGCTCGGTTATTTTATTTCATAAATCATTTCTGAATTTTTATGACAATTTTTATAGTTATGTGCAATAATAACAAAATTAAGTAAAAAAAAAAAAACGAAGTAGATTAAATAAATAGAGAAATTAATAAATTTCAAAGGAATAACACTAATAATAACGCATTTTTTAATTATATACGCAATGTCGGCTTTGATGATCAAAATAAACAGGCAGTTTGATAATAGAAAATACTTGAAAATGCATTGTACTGTATGAATAACCTCAGCTGTTTAATCGCAATCAGTTATATATGGTATACTCGTCTCTTTTTGGTTCATGTCGTCCGCGCAAACTATCATTCTTGTTATCAAATTTTTTTAATATGACATTCCAATCGAAAGAATTCGTTTGATTACAGATAGACTTCCAACTGTGCGTTTACAGAACGCCAGCACTCGATTTATTATTTTTTCTCAATTCAAGTCCTTCCTTGGATGTCATGGAAAACAAGACAAATATTCTATTAAACGAATACCTTGGCACCTTGTCGGCTACTATGAAGGAATTGAATTGCAAGACGCCGCCGCCCACCATGGAGGAACTGAAAGCTACCATGAAGCAAAAAGCTGTCTATGGAATGATAATATTCTTTGTTATTTTACCGTATATGCTGTGCAATAAAACTGAGGCGACAGATTTAGATGAATTATTGAGCACTGGCATAAATCCAGGTATCAAGAGCGAGATTTATAAAAAGTTACTGATAAAAAGACTTCCACTGTATGACGATTGGGGTTTATTGGATCTCTAATATATACTTTATCTTTAATGATAAAGAACAAAAATGGGAAAGAAATAAATCTGGATAATAAATGATAATATTAGATATTAATATTTATAGCAAATACAAAAAAAGTTATAACAATAGACAAATAATGTTGATACATGACTTTTTAAAAAGGGAATTACCATTGAGTTACGGTATAGTAACAAATCTTTTGATTCAAAAAATAAAAAATTATTTTTATAATGGCGTTTCATTTTTTTATTTATTAAAGTTTTAAAGTAAATTGTCATCTTTAAATATTTATCATTGTATCACAGAGACTACGGTATATATAGACATACTTATAAATGTATTTATTTTGTTATGTATATGTATAATAGATAGTATCTAATTCAACATATATTAACAAAATAAGTAATGTTATTAAAAGAAAGATGTACGTAATATTATTCTACAATACCATTGCGAAAATGATATAGAAATTAATTAAGATTCAAAATGAAATATTTTAAGTTGTATTAATACATTGCGTTTGGGAAAAAGTCCTTGTGCAATTTAGTAAAAAGACCTTTCCTCATCAATATCTTCTTTAAAAATTATCAAAATTTAAATTTAAAAAAAGGCGTACAAATACTAATAGAGTATAAGGGTTGATCCCAGGCAGAACCGAAAAATTTTCATACACTCGTAGCTCCTCTCGGAAGGCAATGGTAAATCACCGAATAGTATACTTGCCCAGAAAACCTCCTTACAAAAAATTGCCATTCGGAATCGGCGTTTAAACTGTAGGTCCCCATATACGTTGTGTACGATCAATGTGCTCAGTGTGCGCGCAAAGGTATATAAGAGGGAAGCGTCTACGCGCTGAGATAGCGTATGGCACTTTTGAAGAAGAAATATAAGCTTAAAATCTCTACTTTCGAATGGTTACTATATTTTTTTAATTTATATGAATTTTGTAATATTTACATATAGAAAACTATGGGCTCAAAAAATGAAAAATTTTCTTTCACTTTGTAGCGTGTCCGTTCAACTATCTATCCAGAAAACTTGAAGCTTTCCCTACAAAATTGTTTTTTTAGCATGGTCCTACGATTTTTTATTCCTGAGTTACTCGTGGATTAATTAAAAAAGAACATTCCGATTTTATTACTTGTAACTCCGTTAAAAATCATCGTATCGTTATTAAAAATACGAAATGTTGCTCTATCAAGTGGTGTAATTGCAAATTTTTTTTAAATAAAATGAATATATGGGTTATTAAATGTTTTTTACTAACTTTTATAACTTTTATATCTTACAGGAATTATAATATTATAGGTTTTATCTTTTCTATTTGTCCCGAATTTTTGTTTAGATGCAGTGCTGACAATCTAACACTTGCTTGATATTCGATCATTTTTACAAATTTACCATGAACAATTTGTATTGTATTTCAAACGATATCTTCCCTCTCATAAGTACGATCTTGACGATGTGAGAGAGCTTAGTACTTAAAAAGGATATACTGGATATACAAATGTCGAACCATGAAAAGAATGACTTTTTTTAATGCCTAAAAATTTTCAGATATATATCTATATTTATGTATATAGTTAAAAATTTTGAGATACTTAAGGAAAATCATAATCCTCATGTAAAAGTCTAACGATGGAGAAGTTGCTGGTTTAAATAAACGAGTCATAATCAGTTCTTTGAGTCGTGTGTTTGCTTCGATAGTGCCATTGAAATTATCAGATTAATGAACTTTTCATGGCTCGACATTTGATGGAAACCTAATTCAGAGTGGTGGGATCATATCGCTCCGATGTTTTGACGGCAAGTAAGACTCACAAAGAGTCATTGTTGCAATGGCCGCAGTGGCGTCGGCATTTATCGTGTGTCTTGTATATATACTCGACTGTATTCATCGACTCTAAGGTATTTATAGTTCTTACTCTAAAAATATTATCTTAAGAAATATTTTAAGTAGTTAAATTCTGTGATTGAAATAATAACTTATAACATCATAAAATTGTACTTAATATAACCTTAACCCTCGAACGGCACACATGGGTCTTTCGTGTCTATTCTGATAATTCTTATTTCTCATATACCTGTGCACACGGCCCTATGTCCCCCCCATGGGAAAAATCTTTGTGATGGGGGGAATATAGAGAAGCAACGTCGACAGGGAATCTCTACCATTCAGAAGACAATGTTTTTAAAAATAATGGGTTAAATCATCTTTTTTTGATTAAAAAAACGTTTATTTTAATGTTTGAAGAAATATTTTTTTAACGTTAAAAAAACGTTTATTTAATGTTTAAAAAAACATTTTTTTAATGTTAAAAATACGTTTATTAATGTTAAAATTATTTAAACAAAATTAGAAAAAATAGCAATATAGAATCTTTTTTTAAATTAATTTTTTTATCAATAAAATAAATGATCTGAGAAAATAGTGAGGAAAGATGAAGGAAAGAATGGAAAAACCGTAACAAATGTGTAGAGAACCGGTTGGAAAAAGAGAGAAAAACGTAATAAAAATTTCGTCGCAATTATTATAAATATTATTTTTTTTTAGTACAATGGCAGGGATTTATCGAAAAAATTCTCCATTTCTAATTCCACTTTCAGAAATGGCTCTAAAGACATTGACATGGCTGAATCTAAATTTCATGGAGAAGATTCTGCGAAGATCGGAAGATGATAATTCGATTCAGGTGATCGACATAGTTTCGAAACCTGCTACAAGCAAGGGTGACAACTACACCAGCGACATGATCAGGATTACTGCCGAATATTCGCGCAACGAAGGAAGCTGTAAAATTGAAGAGAAAAAGTCAATTATCCTTAAAATCTTGCCTGAACCCGGAAACAAACAAAAATTTGTAAGTTGATTTAATGTGTACAATTTTTTAATTTATATAAGAAAAAGAGAGAGGAAAAAGGAAAGTGAATGAGAGAGAGGGGGAGGGAGGGGAGAATGGAGAGAGGGAGAGGGGTGAAGGGGGGAGAGAGAGAGAGAGAGAGAGAGAGAGCTGTGGCAAATTTTATTATTTCCAAGTATATTTCGATTCGACAGAAATATTAGTACAATTATTCTTGGGTAATCAATGATTAAAATTAAAACCTTTTTATAAATCATCTTCAAAGAAACGGATATACTGTATATTTAGCGGATATACATATATATATATATTTATTTATTTAAAGAAAACGTTCTTTATTTGTTTAAAAACAAATTTTAAAAACTTTTTACTATACAAATATATATACAGGCTATTATATAAAACATAATTATATGTTTGTTAGATTAAAAGTCTCCATTTGTTAATTTTAAATGAACTTGTTACAGGTTATAGAATCAGGTCTCTTTCACACCGAGATGTTAATGTTGTCAAATACTTTGAATAAAATGAATAGATTGTTAGAGCCGAAGTATCGCTTGAGCGGAAAGACTTACTACATGCAAAATGAAGATCCAATGCTTCTGGCGATCGAAGATCTCACGTCTCTCGACTTTCGAATGGCCGATCGTTTGTCTGGTCTTGACTTAGATCATTCCATATTGGCGAGTCGTGGACTAGCAAGGTTTCATGCTGCTTCTGTAGCTCTATGTGAGAAGGTAAGTAAATCACCACATGGTATTCACAATTAGTCGTAACGTCTTATTGCAATTATTATGAATTCAAATCAATGGCGTTAATACAGGGACTATTCTTTTTTTAAATGCCTTTTCGACATTCGTGTTGTCTGGGCTATCTCGTAACTTTCTCTAAAAAAAGATCTGTTCTAAATTTGTCAGAAAATTGCATGATGTTACATTTATTGTGTATATTTTTTGTGTATATCTAGATAATATAAATTTCCTATCCGCACTACAAACTTATATAATTTATATTCAAATGATATATACATCAAAACGTTTTTTAATAAAAATATTTTAATTATTAGGAACCAAAACAAAAAGAGATGTATTCACTAGGAATATTTAACAAGCAGCAATCGTCAGGAATGAAAGATATTGTCATTAAGAGTACTAAAAATTTAGCAAACGAGATTGCACACTGGCCAGAAGTAAAAAAGTAAGATTTGTACAAACGACAGTATTTACTGCTCTATTTTTTAATGTTCGTGATAACGTTTTATATGACACAAGATTTGTTTCATAAGAAAAAAATTGAATGTTAAGCAGAAAATTGCAAATACAAATACACATTAGAGCGCATATCTGTGTGATTTTTACACATAATTTCATACAATTTTACATTTATTTCGTTTGTATTGCTAGATACTCGGAAAAAATTGCTAAACTCTCCGATCACATATATCAAATAGGAATAGATGCAACTAAACTCTGTAAGGATGAATTTAATGTCATTAATCATGGTGATTTTCATGTGAACAATATGTTATTCAGATATGACAATGATGGCAAACCTATTGATCATATTTTTGTAAGTATAATCACGTCATAAAAAATTATGTACTTCCTCTAAATGTGAGTACTCATAGATTTATTATAACCGTGATTTAGTATAAACGTGATTTTATTACGGTTAAGAATTTAAATAAGTTATTACAAGAACGAAGGACTCTTAATTTAAAAACAATAACGAGAGAATAAAGGGCACATAAGAGTCAAATATAATAAAGTATTTTAAAACATGAAAAATCAAAAGAAATTATGAATAATATAATATTGTATAATTGATTAAAATATAACGTTTTGAAATACTTTATTTACTTTATTATATTTGACTCTTATGTGCCCTTTATTTTCTCGTTAAGAATTTAAAATTAAATAAAATAACTTTTTTGAAATTTTTAATTTATACTTACATGTAATAGAACATATACATTATTGAAAAAGTGGATTTATGTTAAAAATACATATTTTTTAATTTAAAAAGATGTAAATTTTGTTATGAACACAATTTACATGTAACATACTTCGGTCACTTTATTTCATTAATCTACATTTCTTAATTTTTATGACAATTTTTATAGTTGTGTGCAATAATAAAAATTTAAGTATAAATAAACAAAATGAATAGGTAATATTTTAAAAGACAAACGCTATTATGATACTAATGCGTTGTTTAATTATCCGCGCAATATCGGCTTTAGTGATCAAGACAAACAGGCAGTGATAACAGAAAATACTTGAAAATGCAATATGCTATGAATAATACAATAACCTCAGCTGTTTAATCGCATTCAGCTATATATACTCGTCTCTTTTTGATCCACGTCGTCCGCGCAAACTATCAATCTTGTTATAAAACTTTCTGAATATGATATTCCGATCGTAAGAATTCGTTTGGTTACAGATAGACTTCCAATTGTGCGTTTACACAACGCCGGTACTTGATTTGATATATTTTCTCAATACAAGTCCTTCCTTGGATATCATGGAAAACAAAAAAAATATTCTATTAAACGAATACCTTGACACCTTATCAGTGATTATGAAACAATTGAATTGCAAGACACAGGCGCCCACCATGGAAGAACTGAAGGTTACCATAAAGCGAAAAGCTAGCTATGAAATGATAGTATTCTTCGTCATTTTACCGTTTTTGCTGTGCTCTAAGGCTGAGGCGAAAGATTTGGATGAATTATTAAGCTCTGATGTAAATCCAGGTGTCAAAAGCGAGAATTTTAGAAAGTTAATGATAAAAAGACTGCCACTGTATGACGAATGGGGTTTATTGGATCTCTAATGTATACTTTATCTTTAATGATAAAATATAAAAATGGAAATGCAAATATAAATAAAAGAGCAAAATATAAATTGAAAAATATTATCAATACTAGAAAAATGCCTATTAGTCGAAGTTGGATCGTCATTGCTTTAAATAATTCAAACTTGAATTACTAATATACACTATTATTGTACTGAACCCGGATCTCTTGTATTCCGTATGAGCGTTCTAATTTAATGTAGTACCAAATTATTAAATTGCTTGTCAATTTAATTCGCGATTACTAGAGTAGTTTTAATTGCGTTTACAGTCCGGAAAAACAATTCGGCGCGCAGTTCTAAAAAAAAAAGACTATAATATGGTATATGCAAGTACATATATAGTGTATATTAGTAATTCAAAATTAAATTATTTAAAGCAATGAAGATCCAGCTTCGACCATAATAGGCATTTTTCTAGTAATGATTGTGTTTCTCACATATGCGGTCTAAAATAAAGATTCTTAATATTGAAAAATATTATGTAATAGTTAATATAATAAAGTAATGGGACCCTATATGGCCTACCTAATCTTTGTGATTTTTTCCAATTTTTTGCTGAGTCTGAAATTGCAAATTGTTGCTTAAATATTTCAAAGGAGGAAACATTCTTAAACATTTTTAATGGCCAGTTAAATTCATATTTTGAATTTTTATTCGCAAGCATTACGTTACAATTATTACGTTACGATTATTACGAACGTTAAGTACAATTATTATAATCAGTTAATATTGATTACGTCTAGATAGAAAATTTTATATATTGAATCCATTAAATTTCATTTGAGTTATCGCAAGTGCTGCATAGCTTTTCTGACCAGTAATAATTTAACTTTCCAATATAACCGCGGTATCAAACTATGCGTATTGAAAATTGAGATTGAAAATTGAGAGATTTGAAATTTAACCAATCAAAACAAGAGAAGCTAAAATTTTTTGCTCTTATTGGCTAAATTTTAATTTTTAATCTTCAATCTTAATTTTTAATGTGTAGTCTAATTCCGGCCTCACTCTTAGGGTAAGAATTATTACTGCACTGTCCGAGTTGATTCACAGTAAATAAGGAAAAAAAACAGCTTATATAAACACAGCTGAATTATCATCGAAAGCATATACCTTCTTATCTTAAACATTACTACATGTTTGTTATATAATACCCCTTCTCTTCTTCCACAGAAGTTCCCCTCCTATCTCCTATATTGAAGTTTGCGGCTCTTTGCCGTTAGTTCTGTTTCGTCATTTCATTAGTTTTCATACTTACTTATACTGACAATGAGTAAAGTATTATACGTATACGTTCTTAGTCAGCATTATACGTTCCCAATACGTTCCGACATCAAATTACAAAATGAAAATAATCTTATAATCTGAAGAGTTGTTATCTTATCTTAGTTAATGGAAAAACTTAAATGAGTGTGTGTGTGGAAGTTGCAACTGGAAAGAGAAAACGAGAACGTGATTTTTCGCCGATCAATAAGTTATCGTAAAGAGTCGTTTTCGCGTTTCGTTACGCGGCGAGAGAAACAATAATTTGTCGAAGAAATTCTCCAATTCCAATTCCAATTTCAGAAATGGCTCAAGAAACATCGACATGGCTGAATTTATGCTTTGTAGAGAAGATCCTGCGAAATTCGGAAAGTGATAATTCGATCCAAGTAACTAATATATGTTCGGAACCAGCCACGAGCAAGGGTGACAACTACACTAGTGACATAATTAGGATAATTGCCGACTTTTCTTGTAATCAAGGTGGCTTTAAGAATACAAAGAAGAAATCAATCATCATTAAAATCTCACCTATACTCGAAGATGATCGAAAGAAAATTGTAAGTATTTAATTTATATATAATACTATTTCTAATATGGAAAGAAAAAAAAGAGAGAAATTAAATTGTGGCAGATTTTATTTCAGATAGATTTATACAGACCACATTTGAAAAAAACATTTTTCAGTTGTTTGAAAATAAATTTATATGCGTAGAATAAAATTATTATTTATTTGCCATCCAAAAAGCCGAAACTTTTTATTACAAACATTTTTTTATATAGGTCTTCGTATTTTTCATATAGGTCTTCGTACAAAAAAAATTGAATATTGTTAAATTAAAGGAATTCCATTATATATGATCCATAAACAAAAGATTCCATTTATTGATTTTAAATAAATTTATAGGTCACAAAAGTAGGTTACTTTCACAATGAGGCATTGATGATGTCAGACACCTTGGATAAAATGAATAAGCTGGTAGCACCAAACCATCGCTTGAGTGGAAAGATTCTCTACGTGCAAAATGGAAATCCAACGCTTTTAGTGATCGAAGATCTTGCGCCTCTAGGTTTTCGAATGGCCGATCGTCTGGTCTTGATCTAGCCCATTCTGTATTGGCACTTCGAGGACTAGCCAGGTTTCATGCAGCCTCCGTAGCCCTATGCGAGAAGGTAAATCACCACACATGAGTCACAATCAGTTGTAACGTTTCATTACAATTATTAAGAATTCAGGTCAATAGCGAATACAAAGACCATATCCAAAATCCAAATTTTTGTTTAAGATCTCAATACTAAACATAAAAATTATATATAAAATATCACTTTGATTGCATGAACATCTTACTGGTATGAGATTCTTTTTTGTGCTGTAATGTTCGAATATCTGTTAAAAATATGATATATTGTATCAAAAATATTCAAAAATTACATATAATAGAAATTAACTTAAAGTGGCACAACATATTAAATTTTATATGTTACAAAAAGTACTGCCAAGAAATAATTTTCAATGAAATTAGTAAAGCTTTAGATTTTAGAATAACGTGTACTTAATACATCTTATATATACTCTCCTATAAAGAATTTTTAATTTTTAATTGTAATATTAAACACAAGAATTCCATTTTAATGTTATATATTAAAATTTAAAATGTGATGCGCCTTTTATTACATCCTATGTAGTTTTTGTTTATGAAAAATAAAACTCTGTCGCGATAATACCGCGTATTATCCGAATTGCGTATCTTCTAATAAAAATGTTTTAATATTTAGGAACCAAAACAGAAAGAGATGTATTTGAAAGGAGTATTCAACGAACAGTATCCGCCAGAAATAAAAAATATTTTCATTAAGAGTACTAAAGCTTTAGCAGACGAGATTGCAAACTGGCCAGAAGTAAAAAAGTAAGATTTGCATAAACGGCAGTATTCATTGCTCTATTCTTTAATATTCATAATAATGTTTTATATGATTCAAGATAAGTGTTTAACATGAAGAAACTAAACATACTAATTAGAAAATTGCAAATATAAGTATAAATTGCACTGTTTAGAGCAGATATTTTGTACATAAGACAGTTTGTACATAATTTTATGCAACTTTATGTGACTTTTATTGCTAGATATTCGGAAAAAATTGCTAAACTTTCCGATCACATGTATCAAATAGGAATAAATACAAGCAAGCTGTTCGAGGATGAATTTAATGTTATTAATCACGGTGATTTTCAATTAAATAATATATTGTTCAAATATAACAACGATGGCAAACCGATCGATTATATTTTAGTAAGTACTATCACCTTATTAAAAAATTATGTACTTCCTCTGAATACGAGTAGATACTCATTGATTTATTGTAATCGCAGTTTTATGTTGCGATTAAAATTAAATATAAAAATTTGTGAAATCTAATTTGCACTTGCACGAAATCTAACTTATATTATTGAATGACGTTGAATGACGTTCCACTTCTTTTGCGGTGAATTTCATTCCCAATCTAATTGGCTCAAATGATTGATTGGTCGAAAAAATTTTGTTTGATTACAGGTAGACTTTCAAATGTGCGTCTATGCATCGCCGGCATTCGATCTTCTCTGTTTTCTCAATTCAAGTACTTCCTTCGATGTCATTGAATACAAGAGAGATGTTCTATTAAGTGAATACCTTGATACCTTGACAACGACTATGAAACAATTGAACTGCAAAACGGAGCCGCCCACCATGAAGGAATTGAAGGCTATTCTAAAGCGAAGGGCTAGCTTTGGAATGCTAATATCCTTCACGGTTTTACCGTATATGATGCGCTGTCAAACTCAGACAGATTTGAATGAGATAATAAGCACTGGTATTTTTGTATATCCAAAGAACGAGACTTTTAAACAGTTAATGATAAAAAGACTCCCACTATATGATAAGTGGGGTTTATTAGATCTTTAACGCATACTTCATCATTAGCAATAAAATATAAAAATTAAAAAGAAATAAAAGTAATAAACATAACTATAGCGAATACATTAAAATTAAAAATAATATATGCGAAATGTTGATGTAAATAAACTTTTTTTAAAAAGGAGGCATCGTGAAATTATTATGATAATGATAAATTTTTTAGTTTAAAAAATGATTTTTTCATAACATTTTTGACTCATTAATTACGGTTTTAAAATAATCTTTATATTGTATATTATATATTGTACATATTTTATATGTATATGTATACATATATTTAGATATTGTCGTTTTTCAAATAAGTTTTGAACAAAACTATATTAAATAAATAAAAAATATAGAAAAGCAGAATATATATACTTATATAAAAATTTTGATACATAACCTGATCAAAAGTATTTTAGACATCTTATTAACCATTATTTAAAGTTCAATTTAATTAAAAAATTGTTTTATGATATTTGCTATGAGTTATCCTTTGTTTCAAGAAAGCTTTAAATTCGTATACAATGGCAGTAATCAATAGGAAACAATGCAGTTAACAGAACTTCAAATTAATGAAGAAAATGTAAAAGACTAATATTTTTGACATACGATCTGTTCAACTTTGCATGCTAGTATTTAACACGACATTTAGTCGTTGACATCGGTTTAATATTCGTAAAAGAAATTATATTTATATTTCTAATATACAGAATTTTAGAAATTTTATTTTTTTTAACTAAATTGTTTCACAAGGCGTTAGTGTGTGTATATACATATGCATGCGATTATTTTACCTGAAATTAGCTATTTAAACTTAAACTGATTTGATA